ATTTTTAACACCCAAGTTGGCTCATACCGCAATTTTTCCCAATAATGTCAAACTTTTTATTCGAAATAACAGTAGATTTTAGCAAAGTAATGTTTGTTATCGTCTAGGACCTCTCCATTTCTTAAACGTTTATCGACTTTTACTTTAGACTTGGGATACATATTTTCGGGAAAGCCGTTCAGCCAACTTTTAAAACGAACTTCACTGCCTAAGGTTACTCCTCCTATGCCTGAATATTACCCAGAAAGATGATAATGCTTTAAGGCGAGGTCCTGAGAATACGGAAGTTGTCATACAGCTACAATTGGTCTCTTTTAACCTCGGATAATTTACCGGTGTGTGGTATGTCTTGACGGCCAGTAATTGATGTTGGTTCAATCTTCATCAATACTATAGGACATAGCGTCTTCCCATGGAACAAATATGAGCTCCTTCGTAAATATGAAGTTCAAGCTCGACCATTTGTAAATATTGTTTCCTATCAAACTAACACCTCGTTCAGCTCGACTGCTAGAATAAACTCAGGAGATTTGAAGAAACGGTTAGCAAAATGGCAAGGAAAGGGCTTTGATATACAGCATTTTGTCAAATTGTTGAAAAAGTGCATAACAGAGAGTTCATAGAAAAACCACGAAAAGTTGTGCAAAATGCTTGTAGTTTGTCCTACCTTACGTATGCAGATTCACGAGACCAGTCATGTTGTTTAGAATAATGTTTGAGAATTCTAGAGTTTTTCATCTCGGACTTTTCATTTTTTTGAAATTCTAATTAAGATGCATGCGAGTTCCACCCATTCTGGTTGAGCCTAGATGTCACTGGTAGTGCTAGTGTTGCGACTAAAAATAGATGAAAGTCGATAGCTAGTTATTGCGGTTTTAGGAACAATATTATGTTTGCAGTCTAATAAAATATTGTTAACTGTTATTCTATTGATATGAGAAATATACAGCCAAACGACAAATCTACTTCTTCTCTTGTGTTTCTATTCATAAATGCGAATCGCAACTATCGAACTGCAAATGTTAGAGCGCTTCCGAACAAGCCCGCTTTTTGACGACTTCAAATCCTGCACAACCTGTTTTCTCAAGGGGAAAACCCGATTTAGTTGCATCAAAATTTGCAGAGAATTTGCACGATATGTTGCACGTATTTGGAAACTTCTTGAATAGATCTCTTAACCCAAAACTGTGAAGCGTACGTTCCAGATCTCCTTGTCCAAGTCTCATGAGAAACATATGGCATTGGATCATTTTGTTCTTATTATGCACTAAAGTGCGCTCTACTGCCAAACCGATACCCACAGTCACCGCTGACACAGGTGCCCTTTTGTTTTATGTTCTCTCTAACTGAAAATACTGGGCACTTTCTTCGCTATATTCTTCTCCCAATTTCTTCTCCTCTGGTCTAGTGATTTCTGTTGCTATCTTTCTGTTCCCTTCTTAAACTCTCTTATCTCCATGCGGTTATTTCTGACACTGACTGTCCTATTATATATAAGAAATCTCTGATCTAACTGGAGATCTGGATAGTGTTAGTTTTTTTCATCGCGGTCTAATTTGTACCCTCTAGTTGCACTTTATTTTCGTCATTTTCGCG